CCCCAAAACCCCAAAACCCCAAAACCCCTCAAGATAATTAAAAGGCATTAAAAGTCGATAAAATAATTTTAAAACTATATAATATTATAATGGAATAAAAGTCTCGATAAAACTCAGAATTTGAAGAGATCAAAGTGATTAGTGTAGACAGACCTGAGGATGTTTTAAGCGTCAGACCTAATACTAAATTAAATCATGGCTACGAAGCAAATTATGAGCAATATAATTAACAGGTAAATACAATACTCTATACTAACCTCAAATTTCTTAATTCTTTGAGCAATAGAATTCAAACGATATTGGAAAGCTTAATTTTACCAATTCAGTGTTACAGGGAAAATTATCCACCTAGGGATCAATGAAAAGGAAAATGACTATCAAGGACTTTGAAATATAGGGAGTATTAGGAGAGGGATCATTTGGCAAAGTATACTGTGCCATTGACAAACATGATTAAAAGTTCTACGCTATCAAGGTCCTAGATAAATACCATATAATGAAAGTAAGTTACAGTAGTTTTATATACTAATTATCCGTTTTTGCCAAGATTTTTTTACAATCAATAACAAACTTTACCCTAGCACAAAAAAGTAGAAAATGTATTTAGAGAACGAGACTTATTAAGGGAGCTTATACATCCAAATATAATAAAATAGCATTTCACTTTTCAAGATGACACTAACCTTTATTATGCTTTTGAATATGCTAACAGAGGGAACTTAACTAAATTCATCTAAAAAACTAATTAAAACGGAAAAATGCCTATGAATCTGGCAAGATATTATGCAGCAGAAATACTTTCAGCTTTGGAGTTGATGCATTCAAAGAGCATAATACACAGAGATTTAAAGCCTGAAAATATATTGATTTCAGATGATTGGCATTTAAAGATTGTAAAGAACTTATTTGCTTTGTAACTCTTTTAATATAGATTGACTTCGGTGATTCAATAAAGCTGGAAGACTCAAAACAGATTTATACTAAGGAAAATAAAGACCCAAATAAAAGAAAATCTACTTTTGTTGGAACCCCGCTCTATGTTAGCCCTGAAATGCTTATCGATAATAAATCTAGTCCAGCTGGAGATCTGTGGGCTTTAGGCTGCATTTTATTCCAAATGATTACAGGTGATGTACCATTCAAAGCTCATCATGATTATCAGACATTTTAGCTGATATTGGAGAGAAAAATGACGTTTCCTGAAGATATGGACTATAACACTAAGGATTTTATTGATAAGTTATTACAGCTTGATCCATCCATTAGAATTGGAATGCCTTTTGTAGAAGATACCAAGAAATGCTTTGAAGTTATCCGAAATCACGACTTCTTTAATGACTTTGATTTCAAATAACTATCAAAGCAGCCAGTTCCAATTCCTGAATAGCTTTAAGTATTATTTGACAAACCTGGCACTATGAAGAAAAAAAAGAAAAATGCAATAGATCAAGAAGAAAATCTAGAAGAGGGTAAAATTGAGGTTAAAGAGTTAAAGAGAGGACTAATTAAGAAGAGAAACTAGTATTATATGAAACAGGTTAGAACATTTATCCTTACGACTGAACCAAAACTGTCATACTATAAGGATGAAACTGAATATAGGGTAAGAAAAAATATATTTTTAAGAGATTTAGGGCTAAATACCATTAACTAGGCAGGTTTATGCTAGAAGAAGTGGAAGAGACAGATTTGAAGTTGTCACACCATAGAGGACATACTTTTTATTTGAATGCTAAGCTGGGGATTCAGACTAGTGGATAGTTCAAATAAATCAAGTGATTTCCTAGTACTGTAAGGATCAATGAATATTACGTCTCTTCTTTATCATTAAGAAGATTCTCTAGCTTTACGATAGTCTTTGAGATTTGTAAATTAATATATACCTGTTATTTGGATTATATAAGGAGCGTAATCTTAATAATATTCTTAATTCTATTTTCACATGATTTACATCTTATATTTAATTCGGGGTTTTGGGGTTTTGGGGTTTTGGGG